AAAATCGAGCAAACCTAATTAAACGGAATAAATCATTAGAAGTTTAGTAAATTCACTTAAATTAAATCAAAAACACCAAACATCAGAAAAAAAATAACAATCAGACAGGCACTGAAGATTCTGACCAATAAATTAAAGCCATAAATCCAAACAAATCGATTAAAATTTGTAACAATAATAGTAGAGATCTAGCCTCTTCTTAGCCAGGTTTTTTGTTTTCGCAAGCTGCGCCTCCTTGATACTGTAAATTAACCGGAAACTGAGAGAAAAAATTGCGAGAATAATATAAGAGAAAAGGAAAAAGATTACAAAGAAAATGATTCTTTTCTTTGCCCTAGCAAACTTTCAAGAGTAGCCATTATCAAAAAAAAAAAAAAAAAAAACTTTGAAGAGTAGCCCGTGTAAAGCAGTGAAGCAAATTTGGGCAAGTTATATAAACCTGAACGGACGGTTATGATTTGTTCCGTCACGCCAATCTGAGGTAATATCTGATGACTCAGATTCCATGCTGGAGATTTCCAGAATTTATTCTTCTGTCCTATATTTGGTCAAAAAAAATTTATTTTATTTAATTAGTTATATTAATTTTGCTGAGGATGTCAATGTAACTATTTTAGGACTTTAATGGGTAATCACATGGTATTTATTCAAGTTGTAAATCCTTCTTTTGCACGTATTGCATGTATTTAAATCTGTTAGTGTAAAATTTTAATATTTATTATTAATTTATAGATTATATGAATTTTTTGCTCTCATCGAAAAAATAGAAATAACAAATTTTTAAAAAGTTGAAAATATACAAAATAAAATTAACTAATTTGATTGTGAGACAACAAAGGGGATGGAGGGAGTTGCAGATATTGGATTAAAAAAACATTTAAGTTTTGATAAATATATTAGTCAAAATATTTTTTTGGTAGTTAGAGGATATGTGGTTGCTAACTCGCTACCTTCTCATATTTGACAGGACTAGAGAACAAAATTATTATACTATAATTATAAAGTTCTTTTGAAAGGATCATCTTTTAAAAACTTGTTATAATTGTAAAGGATAAATAAGGGTGAAAACAGATCTAATCGAATTGAATACCCTAAATTTTAATCTTATTTAATTATTTTAAAAGCTTTGAAATTTTCATCAATTTTGACTTATTTATTTACAAGCAGAACAGACTTTTATCAAATCTAACTCGATTTAAGCAATCAACGGCCTATATCTTTCAAGCCTAAGAGAAATATAGAAGATGCCTATGGGGTAGGTTGGAATTTCATTTGCCTCGAGTCCACGAGGATCCGAAATTGGAAGCAAATTCGTTGGCCTTGTAAGTAGGGAAGCATCAAACCATTTGGTGGCTCTTATTAGATACGGGTGGGGTGGGTCAGACACGTTTGTGCCTAGCGTTTGCGTGACTTTGAAGGGATGCCATGTTGCGAAGGGAACGCAGCTTTCAAGAAGATTTAGAATTAAGAATCGTGGTTTGTGGATAGGAAATCGTTTGGGGTAATAATCATCCTGAGTCATGACCGATTTTTGAGGTTTCATAAAGATGTCAATTAAACTTCAACTGAATTTCGGGTTCTTTTGGCTCGTCCTGCAAGGCTGCAGCCACAATGGAATGGACACGGATTATTTATCGGAACTTTAAATGCAGAATGCCTTAACATATAGTTGCACAGCCGTGAGTATCAAAGCACTAGTGTAGTGCCAAGAAACATCTTGGTTGGTGATGATTGCTCCTGCCCTTTGCTATTCACACTTTGCAAGAATTTTGCAAGGTCTATGTTAAAGAAATTTTTGAATTGTTAGATTAGGTTTCATAATTCATACGGTTTCATTTTAATTCAAAGGAATGAAAGCATGGAAATGAAATAACTCATTAAGAACGCTTTTTAAAAGATTATGCAATACGATTAGATCTAATAAATCCTCCTGAAATCAGAGTTAATCACATAAGTCTCCTCCTATTAGAGTTAAACCTCACAACCTACTGTTCAAAGAAAGATTTTAAATCACTTATCATAAGTTGATAATCAATTTGCTTTTGACATATTAATTTGTTGAGTGAGTATTTAAGACAATGATCTTGCGAGTTGCGTCCCAACTTATAATAAGTTGATAACTAATTTACTTCTGACACATTAGTTTGTACTTTGTTGAGTAGGTATATGGGACAATGACTTTGCGCCCCATTTTTTGGTAAGAATGGACGGTGGACATTGACTTGTATAAAAGATTGAAAAGTTTTATGTTGCGTTTTGAGTACCATATCACCATTCTAACTAATTTGACGTGTTAAATCGTAAATCATAGATCTTGTGACTCTAAATCTAAACTACCTCACCTACCCTTTTTTTTTTCTCAAGACGACAATTATTATATAATCTATCTATCCTACACTATAGGGGAAGGGGAGTTTAAAGAGGTTTTGTATTTTTTTTTTTTAATGTAAGCAGAAGGGCTCGAATCCGAGACCTCTTGCTTACACTCCCACCCCCCAAGAGGTTTTGTGTTAAGAACTAGTAGGTACACAGACCTACCTCACATACAAGTAAGTGAATATTCGATTTTGCAAGGCAAATGTTAGCACCGTCGCATTTATTTTTAGGGATAATTGCAGAAACCTTTTCTGAGATTTCTGATATTAGCACTCACTTCCCCTATAATTTCTAAAATTGCACTAACCTCCCTTAGGAGGAAATTGGACCTATTACTAACAATAAATTGTATGATATTACTTTTATACCCTAACTAATTGCAGAAAATTAATGAATGAATTTTAGAAAAGAAAAATTATTTTTTGTCAACAAATTGAGTGACTAATTAAACTAGATTACCTGTGAATTTTAACATCATTAGCCATTTTAAGCAAAACTAAGGAATGGTGCCAATTGAGGGGAGAAAACAGCATACATGTTTCCATATTATATTTTTCAAACCAATCAATTTAAGTCTAATTTTATACAAGTGCAAAGAGGAAGGCCATTAAACAATTTTGGAGTTTCTACTAAGTAAGTATAAAGAGAATTTGCACAAATGTATATGCTCAAGTCATTTTTATTTGAAAACCTTCTCTAGTTCAACCTACTACTACTTCTTAAGTTGATACATCTCTTTTCATTAATACAGTTATAAACTCTATAATCTGGAAATATCGGTAGCAAATTTAGTATGTAGTTCTAATGCACTTACTGCAGTTTTCATTTACTAAAGGCAACTTTATCTTATTAGTATGCACTTTTAATTACTTGTAACTAGGCTTATCTCATACTCGGTAATTTTTAGTGATGCTTAAGTATGCTATTAATTAGCTGATTGTTTAGCCTTTTTTTGTTTGTATATGATTGGTTCTAACAACATAAGTAGTTGTGTTACCCTCACAAATAGCTATTCACATTACTAATAGAGAGTTTTAAAGTGACGTGTATTCTTTATAAACTTTGTTGCAAGAACCTGGATATATAGTCATTTAATTAGTCGTTAGTATTCACTGTTACTTCATGTATTGTTGGTAAATTTCATTCAATTGCACTTACACCCCTTGAATTTTACTAATTCTTAATAGCTTTTCATATTTTTTCATTCTTTCTGTTAATACAACTTGACAAGCAGCATAAAGGGAAAATCTGGTACAAATTTATCATCTCACTTCTTAAAAAAAAATTTAATGGTAACATTTCTGGATTGAATCTGCAGCACAAACCTTAAGTTCAAAGGTTGTAAGTGTTATTTTCTAAACCACAAAAGAGGTAAGTGTTAGTGTCAGAAATCTCAGGGGAGGTTTATGCAATTTTCCCTTATTTTTATCCTAATACGTAACTACATCAACTAGTACCAAGTAGTTATTGCTTACTCCCATTACTGGCTACTTCCTGCAAAACTTTGGTTTAGTTGACGATGTACAATCAACTAGCACCAAGGGGTTTGCCCTTACCGCTCGACCAAATCACAAATTCCTTTGTCCGGTGAATTAATATGTTATCACTAAAAAGTAGGACCAGTGTTTTGGTGAAAAACAGCTGCAGTGCAAAGGCATTTCTATTGGAGAGCAAAAACCTTAAAAACCAATAAAAGCACATATGTTAGCAAAGTTGGTTGTCCAACTAGTTAGTGAATGGGAAGGAAATTTTCGCATATGGCTTCAAGAGAGTGCACAAAATGATTACAAAGAAAGTAGGGGTATTGTATCAAACCTTGTGATATCAAGTTAATGCAATCAAATTGATTTTCGACAAAAAAAAAATAAAAGAAAGGAAAAATTCGAAAGTCGAAAATAGGAAGAATTGAAATTATAAGTGCAATATTTTGAGATATTTGTAGTTTAAGTATGGGTTACTATTCATGAATTAAAAAAGGTAATAAATTTGTAGCTAAATGACTTATTAAACTCATAAGAATGCATCTTCTATTGAATTGCAATATGTACCTTAATGAATTAAGATGTGCAATTGGTTAAATACATATACACATCCTAATGTGCTCATGTAAATCGAGATATACATACTCGTGTAATGCATGTGCACATACCCATATATTTTATTTTCAAAAAAAAAATTTAACCATCTATGAATGGTATGCCCATTAACAAATTTCCCAAAAGAAACTTAAAAGTGTGAAAATACATGGATGTAAATTTGTAGTAAAATACCTTGGATGTGAAAAATACATGGATTTGAAATCGACATCATAAAGAGAGAGAATGTAAGAGAGAGAAGCTCTGAGAATGTACGGAAACATGGAAGAGGAACTGAAAAACCCAGATCGACAAGATGATTGTGATGAAGGAACGAGGGACGGTAGTGCCAGACGTGAACCCAAGAAGTTTAAGCGTAGATCTTCAGGGGAAGTTGTCCCCAACCCGAGCCCCAGATCTGAGAATGGATCGATGTCATTCCTCACCACGCCCACTCCTCCAGCGTCGCCGTGGGTTGGGAGGTCCTTCCTAGAAGCTCTGAAAGACAAACCAAGCAAACGGGACTTTTACGACGACTCTGAGGAGTAAATGGAACTAGCTGAAGAAATTATAGAGGAAGAAAGGGATTCGGGGAAGGAGGCAAAAATTGCAGTCTCAAAATTCCCGAGAGTAATAATAGAACAAGGGAAGAATGCTGACTTCTGGAAGCCGTGGAGGAAAAGTCTGATTGTCAAAGTGCTAGGACGAACGGTGAACTTCCGCACTTTTGAAGTGAAGCTGAGGGAACTTTGGAAGCTGGACCAATATTTCGAACTAATAGACCTAGAGAATGGCTACTTCATCACTTCGCTCCTCAACAAAGAAGATTATCAAAAGGTTTTAGAGGGAGGACCCTGGATATTCCAAGGTAACTATGTCACCATAAGCAAATGGAAGCCAGATTTCAGGCCAACGAAAGAGGATATCAAGACAACACTAGCCTGGGTCAGACTGCCCGAATTGCCGATTGAATATTATGTTGAAGAATTCCTCATGAAAGTGGGGAATGTGGTAGGCAAGGCGGTGAAGGTGGACAACCAAACACTGGAGGTGGCTAGGGGAAAGTGTGCGAGGATTTGTGTTGAAGTGGATTTGAAAAAGCCACTAACACCCTTTATTTGGGTGAATAATGACTTGCAAGCGATTGAATACGAAGCTTTGGATGCATTATGTTTTGAGTGTGGCCAATATGGTCACATTGCTGCTAACTGTCAAAAGAACTCTGCTAATGGAGGGGGCAACGATGCACAGGTCAACCCTGTTGCTGGGGAGAGACATGGGATAGAGGCGCGGGTAGCGCCGGAGGCCAACCCCTATGGGCCCTGGATACTGGCAAAACAGAGGAGAAATAGGCTAGACAGCAGACTACAAGGCACTAGAACCCAGGGAGGAAGTGGGTTGGGAAGCTCCAATGTTGTGGGACCCACTGGAGAAATCTGTGAAGGAAGGAAGATGAGCTTTTCAAGAAGAGGAGGGAAAGCTCAGGGTGGAGGTCAAGGAAGGTATGAATAAGGGGAAACAAGCAGGGCAAATGTTGGAAGGTAATCACAGCTGGAGCGAGAAGGACCAAGCAATTGGGGAACTGGCTCAGGATCTAGATTCATGGCCCTAAATGAAATGAAAGCAGAGGGGCCAGTACAAGAGAAGGCAACTTCAAGAGATGTGCTGAGAGATATCATTAACGCTATACCAAACCTACATGATGGACTAGTGTTTAAGGGAACGAAATCAACAATGAACAGGCAAGGAAAGGAGATTTCATGGGCAAACAAAAAGGTGGAAGTTCTTGCCCTCAAAAAGCAAAAGACAATAGGAGCTAAAATAGGAGAGAGGAGCGAGACAGAACAACGTGCTAGTAAGTTCTTGGGGAAAGAGAACCAAGCAGAAATCTGTAATACAATTAACCCTGTAGAAAACAAGGAAGGGGTGGAATGTAGGCAGGGAAAAGGAAGTGGAAGCTGGTATCAGATGGCAAAAGCCACGGACACAATGGAGCAAGAGAAGGCCGAGAATCTGGACCCAGGTGAAAGTTGTGGTACAGGGGGTTTCATCTAACAAATTACGAGTTCTCGGCACTTGTAAGGACAAACACCAGGGAACAGAACCAAACCAAAAAGATGGCAGTTATTCCAGAGAGGGGAAGTGTCGAGCAAGGAAGCTCAATAGGCGAAATGGAGGAGGGGACTTAACCCATCCCTCCAACATCTGCAAATTATCAATCCATATGGATACAAGAATAATATGCTGGAATTGTAGAGGGGTTATGAATAGGCGATTCTGAAGGAATCTAAAGGAGATTATAAGGGACAATGATCCTATGATCTTGATCCTAGTAGAAACGAGAACCAGTAGTGACAAAGATAGAAGGGTTCTATGGAGATTCAAATTTAACCAGATGACTTCTGTTGAAGCACGGGGATTTTCAGGTGGAATATGGATATCCTGGGATGATCAGGAGGTGGAGTTAGAAGTAGTATCCACAAATTGGCAGATCATGAATGTTGTGGTGAAAAACAGAGATGGAAAAGAGTGGCTGATGTCGGCAATATATGCTTCACCTGAAGCAGAGTTGAGGAAGCTGTTGTGGAAGTACCTACAGGAACTTGGGGAGAAAGTCAGGTTTTCGTGGCTATTGTTGGGGGATTTTAATGAAGTTGTCGACTCAACTAAGAAGAGAGGGGGGCGATGCTTTGTAGGGAAATACTCGAATAGCTTAATTGAATGCATTCGGAAATGTGAACTGATTGACTTGGGATTCAACGGTCCAGCTCTTACGTGGAATAACTGCAGGGAAGGAGGTGCCAATGTTAGGAAAAGACTGGACAGAGTGTTATGCAATAGATGTGGAACATGGATTACCAACAGGCTAGTGTTACTCACCTTACAATAACCCACTCGGATCATCACCCGATACGAGTTAATACTAAGAAGAAGGATGGTCAGGGAGTAGTAGTTCATTTTAGGTAGAGAATGCCTGGTAAACTCACCATGATTTCTATACTCAAGTGGAGCAAAGTTGGAATAATAACGAGGATTTGCTGGAGAATGTGAAGAGCTTTACGGAAACAATCAAAAACTGGAACAGGGAGATATTTGGTAACATACTCAGGAGGAAGAAAAGATGTTAGGCGAGACTCAATGGAATCCAAATGAGCCTCTCATGGGCGCTATCAAATTGCCTACAAAAACTTGAAAATCAGCTGATTGTCGAGTACAATACAATCCTGGAACAAGAAGAAATTATGTGGCATCAAAGGGCAAAGGTTGAATGGTTGAAATACGGGGATGGGAATACGAGATTTTTCTATCTATCAACTGTTATTCGCAGACGGAAAAACACAATTCAGAGTCTGAAGGATAGACAAGGAAGATGGCAGGAGGACCCTGACACGGTGAGAAGTATTGTGGTGGATTTTTTTAAGGACCTATATAGCGACAGAGACCACCATAGAAATGTCAGTCAATCTCATAGCTTCGCAACCCTGTCAAATAAAGAGGGGGGGAGACTGATCAGACAAATAGATGAAGAGGAGATTAAAAGGGCACTGTTTAGGATAAAAGGAGATAAATTACCAGGCCCAGATGGGATACCTGCTAGCTTTTATCAAAGATGCTGGAACCAAGTAAGTGGCTCTTTCATTAAATGCATTCAACAAGTATTTGAGAGAAAAAAATCCCAATAGGAATGAATAGTACATATATTGCTTTGATACCTAAGGTGCCACATCCTGAAATGGTAGCTTAGTTGAGACCAATATCTTTGTACAATGTCTGTTACAAAGTCATTACTAAGATTATTGTGAATCGTCTGAGACCCCTGCTAAAAGATTTGGTTGGCCCAAACCAAGCTAGTTTTTGTCCTGGAAGATATACAATAGATAATGTCATAATCATTCAAGAAATGATCCACACAATAAATAGGAAAAAAGGAAAGAAAGGTTATGTTGCAATAAAGGTGGATTTGGAAAAAACCTATGACCGGGTGAAATGAAATTTTTTACAACAAACTCTGGAATTTGTGGGAATCCCCCAAGACTTGATAGCCTTAATTATGAATTGTGGGCGGGCGGAAAGCATGGAAATCCTTTGGAATGGGAAAAGATCAAAACCGTTCACCCCACAGAGAGGGATTCGACAAGGGGATCCCATTTCCCCTTACCTATTTATTCTATGTATGGAAAGATTGAGCCATATGATAAATAGAGCAGCTGGTGAGAGGAGATGGAGAGTGCTAAAGGCATCAAGATTAGGGCCATAAATCACTCATCTTATGTTTGCAGATGACTTTTTTCTCTTTGCGGAGGCAAGTGTTGAACAAGCAGTGGAAGTGGGAAAGATATTACAGGAGTTCTGTACTCTATCTGGACAAAAAGTGAATGTGAGTATATCAAAATTGTTCGCATCCTCAAATGTCCCACGGTAGGTGGTAAGGGAAATGTGCAGACTGACAGGAGTTAAAGAAACACAGGATCTTGGGAAATATTTGGGCATGCCAATTCTACATAAAAGGGTGACCAAGGAGACCTACACATGAATGCTAGATAAGGTAAGGAGCAGATTGGCAGGATGGAAAAGGAAAAATCTGTCTTTTGCAGGCCGAGCAACGCTGATTAAGTCAGTAATTACGGCAATTCCCAATTACTCCATGCAAACGAGCTTGCTCCCATATTCGGTGGTGAAGGAGATAGAGAAAATAGCTAGAGGGTTTCTCTGGGGGGACAGCCCGGATGAAAGGAAAATTCACCATGTAGGGTGGGAGAATGTAACACAACCTAAAGCCAGAGAAGGGCTAGGGATCCGAAGGCTAAGTAAAGTGAATAGGGCACTACTAGCTAAAATAAGTTGGAGGTTTATGGATAGAGAGGAAGCACTATGGAAGAAAGTTTTGAAAGAGAAATATTACGGAGGACAAGGAGACTTTTTTGAAAAAAAAAAGCAGGGGAATCCCATACTTGGAAGAGCATATGTGAAGGCAGTAAAATTGCAGTTCGAGGAAGGAAGTGGAGGATCGAAAACGGAAATTCTACTCTTTTCTGGATAGATAGGTGGCTGAAAGACATACCACTAGTTGAAGAAGTTGAAGTGGAGTTGAACCTAGAGGAGTTGGAAAGGAAGGTAGGGGAATACTGAAGGATAGGAGTGGGTTGGAAATGGAAAGAGCTGGAAGGAGTACTAGCACAAGAAACATTAGCCAAACTCAAAGGCTACTGTGTGGAACAAGGCGAGGACAATCCAGATGTACTGGTTTGGAGCCCAGAAATAAGAGAGGAATTCACGTCAGCCTCAGCATATGAACTCATACTAGAAAAGGAAGAATTGGGTCCGAGAAGTAAATGGTAGGAGAGGATTTGGAAACAGAAAGGTCCAAAGAGGTGGCAATTCCTAATGTGGCTGGTCAGACATGGCAGACTACTCACACAAAGAGAGAAAAAACGAAGACATCTGGCTTTGGATGATAAATGTCCAATATGCAAAGAGCATGCCGAAACTACACTTTATGCACTTAGGGACTGTAGCTGGATAAAGCCCATTTGGAAGACTTTGGTGTTCCCACATTCCTAGGAGGTATTTTCAGCAAAAACACAATGTATTGGGTAGACTGGAACCTAACGCAAGATGGTATAGGAGCTGGAGGGAGAGTGATGTGGTAGCTGACCTTCCAAATAATGATATACCACGCCTGGAGGGCTAGAAACAAATTTGCTATTGAAGGTGAGAATTACCTCCTTAAGGTCCCTTCAGCGACTTTGAGGCAAATGGCAAAACAGGCAAAGCAACTACTCTTTAATGGGAGAGGTAGAGTTCCCAAACAAGAGTGTCTTATACGATGGATGTCGCCTCCTGAAGGTGTTGTCAAAGTCAATGTGGATGGTGCCTCAAAAAGAAATCCGGGAAGAGCAGGAGTAGGAGGGCTCATTAGGGATGAAACAGGGATATGGTTAGGAGGTTTTGCAAAGAGTATAGGGAATGCCAGCAATATAGCAGCTGAGCTTTGGGGAATTCTTAAAGGAATGCAGCTGGCTTGGGAGAAAGGCTACAGAGATGTAATCGTGGAGACGGATTCAAAAGTAGGATTGGAGATGATAGAAGATGCAGTGGCCACATCACCTTACCATAACTTGGTTAAGCAGATTAGAAGCATGATGAGCAGGGAATGGTCATGTAAGCTGCAACATATCTGGAGAGAAGGAAATAGATGCGCAGACTAGCTGGCAAAGAAAGCAATACAGCTACAGTTGCCAGGTGGACTAATGGAAGAACCACCGACAGGACTAAGGGAAATGTTAGGCGCTGATATAATAGGGGTTACAACCCCACGCCTAGTACAATGTTAAAAGGCAGTTTGCCTCTCCTTTGTGTTAAAAAAAAAAAATACATGGATTTTAAATTTGTAGTAAAATCTATGGCCCAATCCATTATAACGAAAACAAGAATGGGCAGAGGTCCATCATATTAATTGCTCAAATTTGGTAAGAAAACTCTTGAAGCATTTTGGCAAGTCCACGGGCTATCTTTGCTTGAACGGAGCCCATACTCCTCCGTCTCTATTCAGTCTCTATTCAGCAATCGACCCAATCTCTTCTTCTGCTTCTGCCTTCGTAAAATCGTCAGACCTTTGCTCCTCTTAACCAAGAAATCAGCAACATGGGTTCTCTCAGGCAGCTATGGTTATTGAGAAGAAGACCCTTTTCAGTTTGGAAATCTCTGACATCGATATCAATTTCAACAAAGAACTCATTTTTATCTTCCTATTTGGCAAATAATTCTCTGCACCTTCTTAAACCCTGTGTTCTTGGCCCTAAACCCTCTGTCTATAGCAGCAATTGTAGAAGCTTCTGTTCACGTTCCAATTCCTTCATTGATAAATCTCAAGGCCCTGCCGCCATTGATTACCAGTATGTTAACTGCTCTTTTATTCTTATATACTGGTTCAGTTCTTAATTTTCTTATCTGGGGTTGTTGCAAAATTTTTGTAATTAGAAAAAAGTGATACATTGAAGGGAAAAAAAATGGGTACAAGGAAAGATTTTGTTTTTCTTTTTGGCTGAATTTGTATATTGGGATTATATCTTGTTACTTCTGGGAAAAGTGTAGCTGAAGAATGTTTGCACTAGGCTCTATCTGTCTGAGGTACAAAGGGAGCTTTGCTCTCTTTGCAAAATAAGGTGAAAGTGTATGGTTGTTCTGTGAGAGAAAGTAATAGGACAGGAAAATTTTGGGAGAAAAGTTAATAGATATCCAAATGAACTATCGGTTTGTGTTTCCCTTGCACAGAAGATGCAGTGTTTCGTCAATTGAAGCATAATCAAAGTTTTTGTTTTTTTTAATAGTACTGACCTTGAAGTTTCTTTGGAGTGATCAAACAAGTACCTGACTACAGGGTGTGCTCAATCGCCCTGGAACAGATACCAAGAGAAAAACCATTCTTGTTTTTATAGCTGGACATCATTCTTGCCAGTTGCAACTGATAATTCTGATGTGGTGGTCGTCATTATTGTCGATTATGAAAATACAGCTGTTCTAATTTTCTATTTTGTGGATAATATGTTTAGGAAGGGAGAAATGGTCACATGACTAATAGCCAGAGAACAAGGCTTTCACGCGTGAAATGATATTTTCTCAGATGACCTGCAGGGTAGTCTGCAAAAAGATTGATTTGTGAAGTATGCTTGAGAATCCTATGAGATTAACAGTTTTGACAAACATCTTGTGCTAGCCAAGAAAAAATTATGTCATCCTTTAATCCCAAATCGAGAGTTGGGACTGGTGCTCAATTTGTATAGTAGAATAGAATGTGCACTGAAATGGAACTTTGATTTTTTACGTTTAACACTTTTCTGCCTTGAATACTGAATATTTCTCAATTCAATTCCTTTTTCTGAATATGGATGCTACTGGTAGCCTGTGTTTCTGAAATTAAGCTTTTTAATGACACGTGAGACCATGGTAGAAGTTTCAACTTTTTTGAACACAGGGAACTAACTGCATCAAAATTGAAAGTAAACGTTTTAAGTATCCTTCATTTCAGGGAACAAGAGCTATGAGAAACTTGACTGAAATTAGTCGAGAACATGAGGAACCAAAAGTCTAAATCTCCCTTGTTTGTCCTGTCAACTATAGTTATATTCAAGAAACTTCTATAATAGTGTTGTGATTGTTTATGTTGTATTTTGAACTGCATAAACTTATTATTGACGATTAGTTCCAAGTTGTTAGTAAAGTAAAATAACAGATGTGCAGCTCTATGTTGCAGGAAGATGAGTATCAAAAGTTGGCTAATTCAACAATCCATGATCTATTAGAGAAGTTAGAGGTAGCTTCTGTCTTGTTTCTTTTCCTGTGTTTGTGAATTATGGTCGTCTACTTATATGACCACAGAGTGTTCACCTTGTTATTCAATGGAGTTTTCTTTGGATGTGTATTCCATTGGACTCCTCTCATGGTTTATTGATCTTTGCTTATTTATGCTTATTGGCTTTGTCTCATGGCAGGAATATGGTGATTCCGTTGATATTGATGGTTATGACATAGATTATGGGGTGAGAATAAGCGATGATTAGTCCCTTGGTGGCATGTTCTTTTTAACTTTACTATTACATAGATTATGGGGTGAGAATAAGTGATGATTAGTCCTTTGGTGGCATGTTCTTTTTAACTTTATTATTACATACATTATGGGGTGAGAATAAGTGATGATTAGTCCTTTGGTGGCATTTTCTTTTTAACTTTATTATTCCTTATGATATTACTCTGTTTGGCAGAATGAGGTTCTAACGGTGAAGCTTGGCGACTTGGGAACCTATGTCATAAACAAACAAACACCAAATAGACAAATTTGGATGTCATCTCCAGTCAGGTACCACTTGTACTCTATCCCTGTGCCCCTGTTGCAATTTATAGGTATATTGGAAAAAGTCACCGGCAAGGTTTGAATTCCAGATTAAAGGAAATGTAATTGACATGGTGTAAATACTTGTAGCCAGATCAGGTACCAGTAGGGTGAAAAATTGGTAGCTTGGCAATTGTCCGGAGTCAATTTTGACGAAAATCACGTTCGTATGCCAGAAAGCTTTTAGAATTTTGATTTTTGTGCTTGACAGTGCCCCCTCATTGTAAAGGTTAATGGTCGCCTCTGTTGTGTCTGATCTATATTCTTAATTTACAATTTAAGGTAGTATCTGAACTTGAGGGAAATGACTGTGATTTTGGCTTGACCTCTGTTTGTGTATGGGCAGAGACTTGCTGTTAGTTCTTGCTGCTAATCATTTTTTACTCCTCTTTTGGATTGATAGGATAAGGATAAAAACTCAAGTAAATTGTCAAATCTGGATGTTTGGTAAGGGCAGGTTGTAAGACTTTGAAGTATAACGGTCACTTTGGTCTTTGTTTGTATGTGCTGTATCAGCATATTCTTTATCTCTCTCTCTCTCTCTCTCTCTCTCTCTCTCTCTCTCTCTGCGCGCACGCGTGCGGACGTGTGTGTGCACTCGCGTGCGTTTGCATTGTGGACTGACGAGAATTACCTGCATCTTCGTTATCTTCAAGCTACCTAAACAATTGTGGCACACAAGTTACTTTTGACATCAGTGCCCTATAGTTGCTCTTGGACTTCCGACAACTGTTCTTTCAATTCTTCATTTCCTCGGTCACTAGTGGTTTCCCAGATGAGGAGGGAACTTATCATCTAAAAAAAAACAGTACAGTGTTTCTATATTCCATTTAACTTTGAGCTATCATTGCAAGCTATTTACATCTGAATTTTAGTTTACTGTAAGAAAAACTTCACTATAAATTTCCTCGTCTACATTTCCTTTCATGCCTCATATTCGTTCTTTTTGGAGAGATCATTCCTTTCTTTAGGGGAGCTAATGAGAAACTTGATATCCTTTTGCAGCGGCCCTTCGAGATTTGATTGGGATCAAGATACTCAAGCTTGGGTTTACCGACGAACAGAGGCAAACCTGGTGGATATCTTAGAGGAGGAGTTGGAACAACTTTGCGGCAAACCTATAAATCTCTCTTAAAAGAACTTGGCTCAGCTGTGACTTGATAATTCTTTTTCCCCTTTTCTGGGAAGGAGGCTTGGGGAACTTGGAGAAGTGACAGACTAACTGTGTATATCTACATGAATTTCTTGACTTTGTTATGGGCTGGACACTTAATAAAAGTTTCACTTGGAAAACCAAAAGAGTTAAATCAAAATGTACTGAAATGAATAGGATTTTCATTCGAAATTTATTTTCCTTGCTCTTCCGTCTCTCTGCAGTTCCCAAAATGATTTCTTTCCTTCTCTCGCTTCTCCTTTATCCTCTTTTCCCCTGGCCTCAACTAGTGGAATAGTGGTGATTCTTGGCTCTGTGTAAGAGCTCAAGAATCACAAATTACTTAAGCATGAACACGTTAGAATTTTCAATAGAAGAAGAAACTTTTCCTCTACTGGTTGAATAAAATTTCTGTGACAATTACCTTCTTTATCTTATTTAGTTGAATAATCTCTAAGCATACCGTGCACGTCATAATGCATTAATTAATTCTGAAGAGCCTTTTTATCTAATGCACGTCATAATGCACGTCATAATGCACGTCAAAAGAGTTTGTTTGGATAGAGAGAATTTGGTTTGGTTAATTTATTCTCACAAATCCCAATCACATTTTTATCTTCTCAATCACCTTTTTATCTCACATACATCACATCACAAAAAGTGCTACAGTAAATATCTCAAATAAATCATCCAAATAAACTCTTATCCAAACAAACTTTGTTTCCCCGTTCATTGCAGCCTAATCTCAGCCACAACCAAAACCCCTTTCGGCTGTTTACTAGAATCTTTAGAATGATAGCTATGGTCTATCTGTTTATAAAGCACTTTTGTGTCATGTTTACTTTAATTACGTGGAAGATATCACAAGAGTTGGAATGATAGCTATGGTCATTATCTTCCACAAATTTATCTTTGTGTTATGTGATTGAAATTGAATATTCTAACCAACAAATGCATCAATTGATAATAGATATTTCAACGTAAATCGTTAGAGTCTCTCATCTGTTAATTTTTTTTTAAGAAGATTATATCTTATATACACTAATAGTGTATACACTATCACTCACCATTAGATCAATAATACATGTGAAAAAATTAGATTTAAAATTTAAATATGGCATAGTTATCATTCATACAAACCTGATAACGCATACACTGTCAGTGTAGGAAAAATTAATTCTTTTAAAAAAATTAAAATTAAATATAGAAAACGTTTAAATACAGAATTAGTCTTATATACATTGATAGCGCACACACTACCACTTTTGAACACATGACACACATATAAAATTTGGATTTCAAATTCAAATTTAATTTAATTATCACACGTGATTAGATGGTTAAGACGGATGTAAATTCTCATAGAAATTTCAGTGTAACTTAAATACATTGATGAGTACCTAATGAGTATCAAATAGAAAAACCCTTTATCTTTTTATTATTCACTGGTTACAATAATAGTTCTCTTGCTTGAGCGAAACAAAGGACGGTTAGTGTCAATAGAAATGATTTAACTGTTGACTGTAGATGCTTGCTTTTGAGCAATTGCACGGTGAATCCTTAAGTAGTAGGTAATCGAGGAATGTGGGTAAGTTTTTATTCAAGGAAGAAGTGAACAGCCATTCTTGAGGACTGAAACAAAGTATGAATGATCATAGCTATCAAAGGAAGTTACCTAAGCACAAGACAAAGTATAGTCCTTGAGTCATTATCAAACATGATTAATTTGGACTCATCTTTCTCATACCATTCAATGGATTCTATCCCTTCAAGTTCACCATCCCAATCCTATAATATCTTCAAGGGTTGATGAGAAGGATCAAAATATACCAATAGGACCAAAATTTAACTTGAGCCACACACACAAAAACACACTCATCCACAACCACTCATTCCAAACACACAAACAAATCCCCACCACATAACAAAGCAGTCCATTTGATTCTTTCTGCCTTTATACTTTTCTCCTAATCAAGTGAACATGGCCTTTAATTGTACTCCATAGGAACCTTCTTGGTTTTAAAAAAATGTGCTACTACCCAAATCCAGTAGATTATTATGTGTGTGTAGATTCTTGATGAAATGACAAGCATGTGGCAGGGGGAAGATACAACCCCTCTCAACCTTGTCCACAATTTCTTGATTATGTTGTCTTAACACGTACTTTGATGCATAATCTGTGGTTAATTAGTGGTTTGAAAAAACGTATCAACATTAATAATCGTGTCCCATGCTGCTAGACCCCTATTATATTAGGATTCATACACAAAAAGGCTCCCCCACTTGATGTAATTGCCGGCCACAAATTGCAACTTAAATCAATCAAAAAGATGGAGAGAGATGATGAGGATTAGTCTAATGTAAATCAATCAGTGTATGTGCTCCACAACCACCAGATATTTGGAGTAAAAATCATTAAAAAAATCACAAATATCTACGGAATAGATACCTTTCCAACCTACCGATCTTTTCTTGATCAAGTGTGGACATAAACCACACTATAAAAATAAATAAAATACAATATATGGCTTTTGACTAAATGAAATTTGACCGGAAAGGATTATCAAGTTAAACAACAAACAAAATGATATGTCAATAAATTTCGCTCCCTCGTTTCTTGCTTAATTTTCACGTAGAATAAAATGTAAAGCATTTGAGACAAAGAGAGTCTTTAAGTTTAAGTCTAAACTCAACTCACATGTTCTATTAATTCCATATACAAATATAGACAACAAGTTCCACTTAAATTTGAATCGATTAGCATGAGTTTTAAAATTTATTTAAACTATTTGAGCTCGACTGGCGTTTGATTCAATAAAAACTCGCCTGACATTAGTTGAAAAATTAAACAAGTCAAATTTAAATATAATTTCAAATTTATTAAAATAAACAAGTAAACATACACACTAAAATTTTTTGCTTGATAAGGCTTTCTAACCTTTACCTTTAAGTAATAGTATGAATTTTAATATGTTTTGTAGCTGTGTGTCTAACATTTTGTTTGTGGCTGTGTGATAATTTGTGAGCAATAATAATGATACTTGCAAACGTGTCAATCATACGTATAATCATAAAAATTAAGCGCATCTCAACCAAGAAGCAAAGTAACAAATTAATAAGGTTCACTAATTTCAAGACGACTAAGTCACCACTAAATGGCTTCAAATACGACATGTAAAAAGGAAACTGCGGGAAAATGTGTGGTGTGTAGTGAATTGCAGTCTTTGTTGAAGATATTGCTGAAGTTGGACCGTTAACTTAGGTTGAGGTTTAAACCACTTGCAAAAATATCACATTGCTTAAACAAATTTGAAATTGTCACCATTCTTTTGAAATCAGAATCACTATGGGCACCACTATGGGCACTTGAAAACGCAATTTCCTTGAATTGGATGCATCAAGTCACGACAAGGGAAGTAAAATCTGTAGAAGAACAGAACCCACAATTGAGGAGGGAGATATTAATTGGTTACATGCAGGACTTCTTGTGTACACCTTTCAACGAACTATTTGATGAGAATGATGCTTTTGCCATAACGAGGAAAGCAACAAGCCAGGATATATTCAGACCCTAAAAGCAAAGGGAATCCAAATTTCAAAATTATGAGTTTGTTGCAATTGAAGGTATTAACTATTATGCTAACGCATTTTTTCCAATCTTTACGTATTATTAGTTGCATGTTTTTTGCACTAATGCATCCGTTATGTTTTAGCCTCTTAAAATGAAAATGAGGGATTAAATTTTTGCATTGGTGATGTGTGTGAGAGACGATTTGTGCAATTTTTCCTTTCTAGTTGCATTACTGATCATTTAATTCATTTAATCACATTAATTTCTCCTACCAATGTATACACATGAAAATATCTGTCCCTATTTCTTTTCTTGGAGAAAATCGAATACTGCACCATTGAAAATGTGGGAGCGGTTGAACCAACCAACCAAGAATCATTTAATCACACATTTAATTTCTCCTGCCAAACGGCACACATGAAAATATCTGTCCCTTTTTCTTTCCTTTCTTTTCTTGGAGAAAATCGAATAATGTACTACTGTTGAAAATGTGAGGGATGTCAAACCAACCAAGACCAACCAAACTGCTTGCGCTAAACAGCAACCAATAAGCTAACGTGAGGGTCTTGATATTTCGCACATTTGCATGTTGTTTTGTGCCACAATACAAACACTTGAAAGGGAGTGAGAGAGGGGCTGCCATCATTGACTGCTTCAATTAAGGCTTTGTGAGGTTAACGTTATGGCCTTATGGGGAGGGAGGAGGTGGCTGACGTTTAAAGAGATGGCGGCCCACTGCTTTCCAGCCATCGATACTTTACGTGTCGAAATAAGCATAGCCGTTTGGTCAGGAATTGCTGACATTCTTGAATGGCTTCAAATTCACCAGGTATCATCCCTACTGTTGGCAGGAATGAGGCTAACACGCTTTGATCTCAAGGAAATAAGTGGAGTATTCTTAAATTTTACTTGTGAAAAAAATAATTTTCTTCCCTTTTTTCTTTTCTCATGGAAAATAAATAGATACTCCTCCGTCTTATTATTATTAAAAGCGTTATGTTTTTTATTTTAAAATATCCCAATATTTTTGCCATTTTAAGAAAATTAAAGCACCTTTTACTCTTTTCTTCTAATACAACTTTTTCCTCTTTAATTATATGTATTCTGTCATTCAAATTTAAATTTTAAATTTATAAAAATAAAATTTTAAAAAATATAAACATTACAATCAAATCACTATTTATTAAAAGGTTGGATTTTCTAAACGTGGTAAATGAATCGAAATGGAGGAAGTAATTCTTATTGGGAACCTAGGCATGTGGTATCATATCATAGCAAAAACCTTAACAAATATGTTTTCTTGATCAGCCTGCATTACGAAGACCATCAACTTGACAAGCAGAACGACCATAACAGGGGGACCAAATGGGATTCTAAGTCTACACTTAGTCAATCCTCTAGCACCTTTGTTTCAACAACTTGCTAGCATTTGATGTTGAATTGGGGGGCAACTTTGACTTATCCTCTCGAAGACTAGAACTAGTACACACGGATTAAATTGTGCTCTTTGCACCATTCTCGCTAACAAAGACACGCAATAGCAATAGAAAAATGCAAGCAATCCGAGTACATTGGCAAAAATTGAACTATTCTCTTCTACAGGGTCCATACATTCAATTTTCAAGAAATAATAGAAATATGGTATTATTTCTCTATGCCATTTATCTTTTTAATCCATGATTTTCCCCATTTTTTGCATTTTAATGAGAAAGAAGAAATAGCAAAAGAAAAGGCAAGAATGTAAATGTACAAATACTAAGTCCACGGCCATCTCAATAATGCTAGGATGTATACACATTCCAAATATTCCGTAAAATACCAAAGGAGAAATGTATCTTTTGCACTTAAAAATCCTACTAGGAAGCAATAAACAAATTCTACCATGTCCCAAAAAAAAAAAAATTACAAGGAGACAAAAAAAAAACAAGGAAATAATGAGAACAAACCGAACACTAGCACTACTATGATTTCTTATCTTATCCTAGATGAAATATTTCAAATTTCAGTCCTACCAACTTTTCAGACCATCTACTCTAAATCCTACGGCTAAGCACACTCGGAGGAATCACAATCGACGGCTGATTGATCTTCACTTAATCTGCACAACTTAGCAATAGCTGCAGGAGATCCCATCTCTTGCCTCTGCAACCGCTTAACGGACTCCACTATTGCCCATGAGTTCGGCCTCGAAATTCCAATCCGACCCGATTCTCGTCTCCCGCTTTTCAAACTCCTGGTTGATAATGAGTCAACACAATCCGCCCGTTCTCCTCCACCACCACAAGCACAAGCAACCTCCTTCGCCGCCATCTCCGGCGGCTTATTCAAATCTATCCAACAACGGTTCTCCTGCGTCATCACAAAAACAAAATGTCCAGCCTCAGCCTTAGAAAACCTTAATTAAAAAGGAGGAACATAGTTTTTTTTTTTATTTAAAATAAAAAAACAGAAAAAATTTTATGGTTTCATACTTGTGAGCGGGGATCTGAGGCATTTTTGCGCATTCTTTTCCGATCACGCGGAGATGACGCCAATGAAGAAGACGCAGACGAAGAAGAATTCGATGCTTCTTCATCGTTATTCGACGAAGAACTCGCCGGTGGAGGCGGTGCGGTCGGTGACCATGGCACCACTTGAAAATCTTCATTATCCTTCTTCTCATCATCATCATCATCATCCTGCTCACCGACATCTTCACCTTCCGATTCATTAACATCAACCTCTTCTTCACCGTCGTCGAGTCGATTGCGCTTCCGGAGGCAGCAGTTGTCGCAGACGGAGACGGTGGGGCCTAGTTTAGTCCCGCTGGCTGTCCACGGCGTCGGAGACTGGCAAACGTGGCAGAGGAGAGTCCTCAAATGCCTCGCAACCAGGAAATTAGCGGCGTGGACTCGGAAATCGCAGCTCCAGCAAAGACTGGCCTGGTCCGACTCGCAGTACATCCTCGCCGATCCTCTACATAGCTCACAATTCTTCCTCATTTTCGCTTTCATTTTTTCTTCAACCTTTTCTTTTCCTCGTTTTTTATCCCTTCTCAAATGCTCAAAATAGTCTTCTGGAGAGAAAAAAAGTGGAAAACTGAGAAGAAAGAGAGCGGAAACTTGAGGGGGGGCGCTAGAAAAAGAGGTTCCAAGTTGAGGGTTACTATGAAACCGTCTCAGCATTTGGGGTATATAACGGAACTGTCACCGCCCTTTGTTGATTTGATTGGTGGGGCAGGAAGGGTAGGATGGTAATTTCATGCAAAGATTGGCATGTAATATTTTCTAGGTGTTAGTTTAATTAGGAAAATCTTTTTTTTTTTTTTAAATATCTCGAGCGAAATGAAAGCAATATGTTTCCTTCTAGAAAAGTAAACGAATGAGCAAAATGGAATTGGAGCGATACATGCAAAGAAAGAGTAAGAGAAATAATTTATTTTAAAATTTGCTAGAATATTATTTTAAAATTTTACAAAAGAATATGATGAAAATAAAGCGATATTAACAATGTATAAATTGTCAATCCCATTAGCTGATAAATTAATATAGCATGTGATCTTTTGACATCTTTTGCAATTAAGTTTGTAAATAATAAGACGTAATAAAAAACATGTTCTCGTCGTTTTTCTCTAAATTAGTCAATAAATGATTATAAACAACCAAAACCAAAATTATAAAGTTAGTATGGTAGTTCAAACTTTGATTAGTATGAAAATCACATCCTTTAAAACTGTTCTTTCCTGTGTTGTTAGCGTAAACTACATTTTTACTATTTTTTAAACTAACAGATGCATGCGAATGCACATTGCATTTGCAAGGAAACATTTTTATCCATTTAAATTTATTAGTGTAAAAATATGTTTACATTAAGGAAAAATTAATCCTACAATTTGGGGGTGTGTGGTTCTTTTGATCTAATTTAGATCTTAAATTAGAAATTAATAAAGTGATACGAAACTAGGAATCTCAAGTAATTTTCAAGGTTGCACTTCCAGCGCCTTTCCATTTTGCTACCCCAAAAAGGAAATACTTGCTACTTTTAACAAGATAAGGAATTAAAATAGCAAGAAAATCCATCAGGTTTAATAAAAAAAATCCAAATGTCTCTCGCAAACAACGACATTTGCCACCCGCCAATTAATCCACGAACGATAAGATGCCTGAAGGGGTAAAATTGGAAATTCACTCTTCCCAGCCGGTTCAGATTTTCCAGACTTTACTTTTGTGGCTGAAACGACAGCGTCCCAACGTGGATTGAATGGTGGGAGGGGTGCCAGGTGTTGGGAGATGGGGGAACACCGGCTCTGCTTCCTGTGGTTCGTACAGGATATTTTCTTTTATTCTCGTTGATGACGTGGCACTCACACGTGGCAGATTGCCAGTTGGGGAGATTATGATTCGCTTACGTGGATTAATTGGGACCTCTTGTGGGGTCTGGCCCACGTGCTGAACACCTGAAGATGACTAGGCTGCACTGGTGGGCCATTTGCGGTCCCACGCTTCTTTTTTGCCGGGTTTGGGTATGGGGTTTTTTTTTTGGGATTAAGGGCCTTGATTGGTTTGTTCGGTTTGAGAAGATCAAGGCCGGTGTTGTGGCCACGCCAGCATGATGTGGCAATGCCGGCCCGTGTGCGACTTTTTACCCTTTGCCTTACCCGTTTCTTTTTACCTCCGTTCCATTCCCCAAGATTAAGACTAAGGGGCTGCTTGATTAAAGGGTTTGGGAATCACATAATGGAATAAATTCCTTATTTGTTACTTGGGTTAAGCCTATTGGAATGTCATTTTTGGAATCATTTCTGAAAAATCATTCCCGAGCAAATTGGGAGGTTTTGGACAAAATCCTCAACTCATTCGCTCATACAATATTTATGACGGATCTATCCTCTCTTTCTCTCCATCACACGCCGCACAAAACCGGAGTCTTCTTCTTCATCAGTTTTCCTATCTCTTTTTCTTCAATCAATCGCCGCCCATCACCTTCATCGGACATCTTCTTTCTCATTTCAAAGTCCCAAGTTCAGGTTCACAAATAGTAGCAACAGCTTTCCAAGATCTGAGAGCCTAAACGAGAAATTAGACCATGTAGTAGATGATTTATTTAAAAAGGTTGAAGCTTCCAAGGTGAAAATTGGAGAAGATTTTATTGATTGGGCAAAACATTCCTTAGAACCAAACAATGCCATGAGTGGTGAAATTCTGGTGGAATTTTTTGATTATGTTCTGGTAAATCTGAAAGATCTACTTAAGTTTGAAGATAATTTGATTCTGTCTTTGAAGGAACAAATCTCAACCCTTGAAGTGAATCTACGATTCTTGAGAAACTTTGTCATCTTCACGAATAGGCTATGCAGTGGGTATGAGAATATCAAACTATTTTTTACTTCTATTGAAGATGCTGCAAATAATGGTATTTCGTTCTAGTGTTGGGTGGGATGGAAGAAGTAGGGAGTCAAAAGTTGATGGTGATAGAGACAGCGACATTGTAACCCTTCATTCTAAAGCCATAAAGAGTTGGTGTTTTATTGGAAAACGAATTTATTTTTATTTTATCCGATAAATAAATTTGTTTATGGAAAAATGAGTACTCTGTTCTTGTAATGGAGGAAAATCATAAAAAGCTAGTGTTTCATTGAAAACCGGGTTTATTTTTATTTTATCCTATAAATAAATTTATTTATGGGAAAATGGCTACTCTGTTCTTATAATGGAGGAAAACCATAAAGACCTGGTCTTTTATGGGAAAATATGACTTTTGTGAAAGTGACCACGATTTGGTTTATGAAATTATCCCAAAAAAAAATTTAGAATGAATTTGTTTGTTTTGAAAGTTGTATAACGGTCGTTAAATTTCAAATATCCCTTCCTTAAACTTCAAAATTTACAAAATCTCATATTTTTGTTAAATACAAAACCTACCAGTTTTTGCAATTATCTCTTTGTTTTATAAGAATTGTTATATCATGGGTAAATTTAGAATTTAATTGCATTTAATTTCGAAATACTCATCAAACCAAGCATCAGAAATTGGAATGATGCTAATTCCAATGTGTGAACCAAACTAGATATTGAAATGAAAAATTTAATTCCAAAACCAGAGTCTATGATTCCATTTCCATTTCCGATTCCAATATGTGAAACAAGCACCCCCTAATAAATTTTTTTTCGTCAAAGACGATGAACCTTTAAAATAAGGAAAAATTGCAGAAACCTCCCCTGAGGTTTCTGACACTTGCACTGACCTCCCCTCTAGGTTTAGAAATGGGATATAGTACCCCTGAATAGGAACAATTCGTTGTAAAATCAGTCCAGGCAGCTTGATGTCCCATTAAAAAATTATTTGTAGAAGTGAGATAAGAAATTTCTTCCAAATTTGCCCTGATCTTGCTTGACAAGTAGTATTAACAAGGGAGGGGCATAGACATTAAGGATCAAGCAAGTTCAGGAGGTATAAATGCAACATCATGCTTCCAGATGCAGACCTGCAACAGTAACCATTTGTTGAGAAACCAACGGCTACTTAACGGGTAAATGTGCAGCTCGTTGCACTGCTTTATAAACGAGAGGAAAGTCATGCATGAATACCAGGATTACTAGGGAAAATAATGAGCAGCAAGTTGCCAACTCAAAACACAGCTTGTATCATTTTCAGTTTGGCAGCTTGAGCAAGCAAATATTGCAGCAAAGAGAATGGCTTCTTCCAACCACAGGAGAGTATCATGGAACTCCCTAACATCCTTCACAATACAAAACAAATATTGCTGGTGCAATCGAAAGGCCACATTGAAGATCTCTGAGACTGAAAACAACCCCAACAAGTTATATTTTTTTGTGGAGAAAAATGCACTTTTCATCCTCAAAGTTTGGGTGGTTAGCCAATTTCATCTTCAAAATTTCACCCAAAACACATTGCATCCTCAAAGTTTCATAATTTTGGCCAATTAAGGACAATTGACGGGAAATAAAGAATTGATCGTTAGAACCAACGGTACTCTGTTCTTATAATGGAGGAAAGTCATAAAGAGTTGATATTTTATTGGAGAACGAGTTTATTTTTATTTTATCCGATAAATAAATTTGTTTATGAAAAAATAGGTACTCTATTCTTATAATGGAGGAAAGCCATAAAGAACTGGTATTTTATTGAAAAATGAATTTATTTTTATTTTATCCGATAAATAAATTTATTTATGAAAAATGGGTGTTCTGTTCTTATAATGAAGGAAAGCTATAAAAAGCTGATCTTCTATGGGAAAGTGATATTTTACAGAAAATGACCACGATTTGGTTTATGAAATTATCCCAAAAAAAAATTTAGAATGAATTTATTTGTTTTAAAAGTTGTATAACGGTCGTTAAAGCTCCCGAGATTGGCAAAAAAATTTTGGGGTTGCAGAAAGGCATTCTCAAAATTCCGTAATTTTGGCCAATTAAGAACAAGTGACGGGAAATGAAGAATTGATCGTTAAAATCAACGGTTTTATCCAACAAAAAATGGGTAAAATCGAATGGAGTCATTTTTTTGCCAACACTTGCAACGGACGAAAAGCTCCATTCTTCTCCTTCTTCCCTCTTCCTTTCTGCAACCCCACAATTTTTTTGCTAATTTTTTGAGTTTTAACGACCGTTATACAACTTTCAAAACAAACAAATTCATTCTAAATTTTTTTTTTTGGGATAATTTCATAAACCAAATCGCGATCACTTTCTGTAAGTATCATTTTTCCATAAAAGACCAGCTCTTTATGGCTTTCCTCTATTATAAGAGCAAAGTACCCATTTTTTCATAAATAAATTTATTTATCGGATAAAATAAAAATAAACCCGTTTTCCAATAAAACACCAACTCTTTATGAATTTCCTCCATTATAAGAACAGAGTATGCATTTTCCCACAAACAAATTTATTTATCGGATAAAATAAAAATAAACACGTTCTCCAATAAAACACTAGTTCTTTATGACTTTCCTTCATTATAAGAACAGAGTACCGTTTATTGGTAAAACCGTTGGTTCTAACGATCAATTCTTCATTTCCCGTCAATTGTCCTTAATTGACCAAAATTACGAAATTTTGAGGATGCAATGTGTTTGGAGTGAATTAGTTAGTTAGTTAGTTAATTAGTTTAACATGCAAATAGTTTGTTAGTTTCGGACAGA